GCCTGTGGTGGTGAAGATCTGACTGTGCCTAGGATGTCATTAAGTTAATCTAATTAATTTAGATCATCCTAAATCTTCAGTCCCTTTAGGCTAAAAGCAAAATTGTAGTGAGTTGTAAGATTGTTCTAATTACTCAGTGAATAGTTACAATCCTTTTTGGGGGAGAAAACCCTCAAAAAGTTGAGGGCAAGGGATGTCAGTCAGGTTTAAAACACTGCAGGTTTTTCTGCAAATATTTACTTTCATTTGAGAAGGAGTTAGGTGGCACAGCCTTTAGATGATGTTTTGATAGGTTCAATTAGCTGCTGACACAAATAAAAGGAATCAATCATGAATCTTTCTAATATACTAAAATATGCATTTTATAGAAGAACAAAGCAGCTCTAATGCTGTTGTTGATGTCTTTGAAGTCTAACATAAAAACGTGTCTTTTCAATCGTTTTAAAAATCCAGCTTTCATACAATAGGCAAGAAGTAGAACAATTTGTCAGAGTAACTCCTGAACTTCTTTGTAATAGCTTTCACAAGATGTTAGCAAAAAATGTTAAAAACATCTAACTAATCTGTGTAATTACATATGCTTTGCTTGGTTTAATAAAAAAGTATATTGCATAAGTGAACCCAAATTTGGTTGATTTTTATAGCAAAAAATTATTTTACAAAGTGGATAGTAGATCATGTATGATAATGCAATTTTTCTTATTGGTTGCAAAATTTAAGATTCATTTGGATCATAATAGGTAAATTTAAAACTGTAAATGGTTCGGCTGTAAATGGTGTCTTCAGGGTTTGAATATTAACAGCTTAAACAAAAGAGAAGGAAAAAAAAAAAAAAGCAACCCCTACAGAAAAAAGAAAACTCCAAATATTGTAGTAAAAATGGTCAGACTCACTTCTCAGATGTCTAGACTTCAATGGTTAGTTTCTTTTTCTTAACTGAAATTCAGATTTACTTCAAAGTAGTGGCTTGAATACCTAGGTTTTTAATCCAGGTGTATTTCTGTTCTAAAGAAACCCAACAAACACACTGATTGTGATGCCACAGAGTACCACGGAGACTATACCTCACGTTAAGGAATCCTGTTTGAGGGTAGAGATGCCGCATACTTGCAGTAAAAGCCTCGTTATACTCTTCTGCTAACCAGAAACTTGATAGTTATCATTGAGCCTTTATCCTTCTCTCCATCTTTCCCATCAAAACTGTGATAATCAAATGACTTTATATGATACCAAATTATTAAAGTGCCATCCAAAAATGAAGCACCCTTTTTGAAACAGTAGCAGTGAAAGTCAGATTGACATTGTTGCAAAAATTGCTGCCTTAACCTCTCAAAGAAGCCGTGAAACATACTTGCTTGCAATTTTGCAAAATGTTAAATAGTTAGCTTTTTATTTTAGAGAAACTTGACGTTAAGCACTTTAATGGTCTTGCTCTTTACTAATTAATTTGCAGAACTTGGTAATTAGTAGTGTGTCTTGCCATCTGTAGAAAAAATAGTTCAACAAAAATATGTATCTGTCTACAAAAAAGCATGTAGAAATTAATCTCATAAGTCTAGACTACATTGTTGAAAAAATTTTTATTTAAAGTTTATTGCCTAATGTACCCTATGTAGTTGAATAAACCCATTTTTTAGCATTCTTTTGTGTAAATGCATTTGATTAAAATGTTATACCTGCTTAACTGGCTTCAGAGATTTGCATTTCAGGATTTTCAAGATTTAAAAATATGTACAGAGCAAAAGTTTACTCTGGCCACTCAGAAAACATTTTTATCTTCAATTTGTTTTTCACAGTCATTGTAGTCACTATTAAAATTCAAATTGCATTAATTCAGATATACTTACAAATACTCATAGAATCAGAGAATGGCTTAGGTTGGAAGGGACGCTGGAGATCATCTAATCCAATCTCCCTGCCATGGGCAGGGATGCCTTTCACGTCCACTAGGTTGCTCAAGGCCTCATCCAGCCTGGCCTTGAACACTTACAGGGAGGGGGCATCCATGACCTCTTGGCCATTCTGTTCCAGTCTCGCCACTGTTGTACTGAAGAACTTCTTCCTAAGATCTAGCCTAAACCTGCTCTCCTTCAGTTTAAAACTGTTTCTACTTGTCCTTTTGCTGCACACTCTTGTGAAATGTACCTCTCCATCCTTCCTGTAGGTTCCCTTTTGGTATTGGAAGGTAGTTATAAGATCCTCCCCAGAGTCTGCTCTTCTCTAGGCTGAGCAATCCCAGTGACCCCAGCCTATCCTTATAGCAGAGATGCTGTAGCCTCTGGATCAACCTTGTGGCCCTCTTTTACAATAAAATTTGATACCTTTTTAAGAAAGCTAAAATATTATTTCTGCGTAAATGTACATGGAATAGAGAGAATATTGCCTATAATATTTGTTAATATAAAGTGTGGTCTACACTGCAAGAAAGAAAATGTGGAAGTGAGAATTGTGTATTGAGAATCTAAATTTAGCGAAGATGTCTATTTCAAGTTGTAGAGATGTTACTTCACGCTTCAGTCGCAATGTAGAAAGGAAAGAAAAAAAACGGTGATAATGTCTAAAATTAAGACTGTATTTTTATGGGCAGTTTTGACATTTTGCTCTATTAATTCATAAAGGAAGACACATTTTTGACAAATAACGTTTTTTCTTCTGTACACAGACAAAAGAAGTTGGTTTACTTGATGCTGACATATATGGACCTTCAATTCCAAAGATGATGAACTTAAAAGGAAACCCAGAATTAACACCAAGTAAGTGGAAGCGGTTTTTGTTGCTGCCTTCTTTGTACAGGGGTGAGCATGGACCACACTCACTGGTGTGTCACAGAGAGGATGCAAACAGAAGATGAAGACTTTGTGTTTATTTTCAGTAATGCAGTTGTTTTCAAAGCTAGCTTCTACAACTAGGACTATATGTGGGGCCTTTTGCTTTTCTGTTGGTCCTGGCTTTGGGATTTTCATGCATTTTTACTAGACACACTGGAAAATTTAGGAAAGGAAGGTTATTGTCAGTAGTTTTAAACTTGCTATAGAGGATCCACTGTAGAAGACCTCTAAATCAGAAAATAAAACCAACTAGTCTAGGAAATAAGAGAAGCATCATTTCAGTAGCTTGTATAAAATGTCATTGAAATGAGTGTTTGATTTCTCTTTCTTCAGCCAAACTCACCAGGCAACTTGAGTGTTTCTATTTGAAGTTTTACATGCTTAAGAACTCAGTGGTAGTGAGTCCACTACCAGAAGGTAAAGAGTGGACAAAGCTCCTAATTTTCTTCCTGTTAGGAAGAATTCTGGTCTAGAGAAAATTGAGGCAGGAGAATCTGGAATGAAATAAGACCTAAAGTAGAAAGGTTTCAACAAGTCTGTATACCTTACAGAATTTTCCTTTCCACCCAAGCCAACCAAGAGTGAAACAGAAGAATGGGTTTATCTTCATACCCTGTTCGTGTGATGCTTGAGTGTGATGGGGTGTGCTCTTTTGGGAGTGGCAGGGACACTGAGGTGGTATAGGATTTGTTTAATGCTTTGTTGATTGGGAGGGACCTTTAAAGGTCTTCAACCCCTGCTGTACTGAGCAGGGATCTTCAACTAGATCAGGTTGCTCAGAGCTGTAGCCAACCTGACCTTGAATGTTTCAGGGATGGGGCATCCACCACCTCTCTGGGCAATCTATTCCAGTGTTTCACCACCTTCATTGTAAAAAATTTCTTCCTTACCTCTACTCTAAACCTACTCTCTTTTAGTTTAAAACCATGACCCCTTGTCCTGTCACATCAGGCCCTACTAAAAAGTTTGTGCCCATCTTTCTTCTAGGCCTCTTTTAAGTTCTGAAAGGCTGCAATATGGTCTCCCCAGAGCCTTCTCCTCTCAAGGCTGCACAACCCCAACTCTCTCAGCCGTTTTTCATAGGAAGGGTGTTCCAGCCCTCTGTATCTACTTTACTATTGTTGTAGAATATCCATTTGTAACTGATCTTAAATTGTGGATGTGTATGGGTGTTGTGGTGGTAGTTGTGTGCATTCACACTTGGTATAAAGCATGCAGAATGAAGCAGTGTCAGTATCTTTGAACAGTGGCTATTAAGCTTGCAACATTAGCCTCTGAAAAATTAATGTGGCAAACTTCAGATTTCTTATGTAACTAAAACTCTGTCTCCTTATGCTTATACGCTGTACTCTGGGTAAAGAAGAAATAATGGATTTCTGCATAAAGACGCGTTGCGTGTGCTTATACGGGCAACAGTCAGTGCTTTATACATTTAAATACTTGACTTACAAATACACACTTCAGTCAGGTGAATTTCTGAGAGAGAAGGAAAATACTTGGGTTTATTTGTTTTGGTTTTGTTACTTTTTTTTGAGTCAAAGGCTAATTCTGTTATGTAACAAATAAATAATGAAACCCTCTCATGTATCATCCATTAGTGGAGCTTCACTTCCTGGTAAGAACTGAAGACCTCTTGCATTCTCTTGTACTGCAGACCCTGTTGAGGTTGTGTCATACAGGCTGTGTTTTTTTTTCATAATTTTTTTTGCTATAAATTTTGCATTTGAAGTGCATTATGCAATATAAACACAAGGGACTATGCTGTGGTGATCCTTGTAGCTCCACAACTCTCTTCTTTTCCTTTTTATGTGACCTTGACTTTTCCCTTTCCAAAGGAGATCAGGTAAAAATTTCATTCTCCTTCCCCCTTCCCTCCATCTGAAAAACTGATTAGATAACTTGATAACTCTGAACTTCTTATACATTTCACGGTGTATTTTTATCAATCCATGTCATGAGCCACAAATAAGTAGTAGATTGTTGCCATGTCTGTTTCATATGATCAAACAAATTAACTTGCTAGGAATGCAAGAAATGAGAGTGTATTCGGTGAGATATTAAGGCAGCTCAATTTTGTTCATATATAAATTTCAGTCACTGTAGATATTTTGGGTGTACACCTGAGAATTCACTATAAGCATTTGTCTTAACATATTTTGAGTGTTGTTAAAAATACAAAATTCAATGTAATAGAATGAAATTGGAGGATTTCCTTGAATTGAAATTGTGCTGTTGACTTGTGAGTATGAACAGTTTTTGCTAAAATGTATTCTTTGTAGTTTTGTGTGGAATGTACAAGCAGATATTATCAGGCTTTAAGAACATACTTTATTTTTTAACTGACAGAAAATGAATTTGTGTTATTTCAGAGGCTTGGCATGTTACACAAGTCTATGGAGAAACTCCTGTAGTAATTCAGTACAAATGATAAGAGGATAGAATTTTTATTTCAGGAATTCTGTTCACTTCTCTGTGCACTTTTAACTCCTGAGTTGATGAAGCTGTAGAGTAACAAGGGAAGTGCAGGTGAAGTGGCTGACATTAAGGTTATTTCCTTGTGAAAATAGGAATTTGAAGGGTGTAGGAAGCTTTAGTTGTGAACTTCAAGGATTCCTTTAATGAGTGACAGATAGGGTGAGCTTGCAAGGATGTGATCCTTCATAGATGTGTGTGTGTGTGTATATATAGTATGTATATGTTGGTGTTTATATATGTTTATATAAAAGTATGTATGACTTATATTTTGATATAGTAAGGTTTAGTGTTATTTTCCCATTTCTTACTACATTTTCAAGAATAAAACAAACTCTGAACAAGTACTATTTTGTATAGTAATTGAGCAAACCCAGACAATTCTGTATTAAAAGATGTGCATTAACAGTGTATACGTAACAATAAGTAAATTTAAAAGATTTTTTAATAGCATAGCTATTAAAATTACGTTTGAAGTCTATTGCTGTGTTCAGTGTGAGGCCTCGATTTGAAAATGAACCTGTAGGGTAATCCTGGGAGGTTCTGAGCACTCTTACACTCTTAGATTTCTATTTCTTTTCTCACATGTAGTGATTTAAAAGGGATTAGGGATGTCTTATAGCATACCAAATAAATCCTTGAAGCAATTATAGAATAGAAATTATTATAGTTATGCTATAATTTGAGTTTTCAAAATGAATTACGGGTTCTTAGGAGAAAGTCTGTATAAATGGAAGATACTCCATTAATTTAATTTAGCAAACCGTAGTACATTGGAAAGTCATCTAATACTTAATAGAATGTCATTCAAAATACTTTTAACTAAATGGTCAGGTAAATATCGGTTAGTAAGTTCTCAACTGAATTTAATTAGCTAATGGAGGATTATCTAACTATGGAATAAATATTAACATCAGCTACAATATATATGCAGGGCAATGCTTATGACACAAGTGACCAAAGCCTTACTTCTTTCCTCAAGTAATTTACTTAAAAGCTGTTTTCTGGCTTAGTGAACTGCATAATTTCTTTTTTTTCCTTTTTTTTTTTTAAACTTACCATTTAAACTACTTGACAGAGTAAAAGCTATTATATTACCCAAAAGATAGTGTGGTTTTGCCAGATAAATACAGTATTTCTTAATTTAAATTATGATTAAGGTTTTGGTGGACTTGTTTTCTTTATGACAGTTGAGTGCTCTCTTAATATTTCAAACCTTTATTGCCATTTTATGATGTCCTCGGTGTCTTTTTTATTTTCTAATAAAATAGTTTATTCAGAAGATCTGTAGTGGGCATCTGTTTTCAAACTTTGGCATATAATGCAGTTTCTGAGAGAAAGCCAGCAGTGCTTGTGTCTGGCCCAGGTGAGTCTAATAATACTTCAGGAAGTATAGAAATTACATTGCTAATAAAATCCTGAAGTCAGAAATGAATACTTGCACTTTTTCACTGGGAAACATGTTACATGTCTGCTACTCTTCAGACTGTGATAGCAGAATCTTGCAGCTTAAAGAGATGATTTTAAAATAGAATCTGTTGTGACTGTTTAAACATACCTGCTGGAAGTAGGTGTTTTGGGGGACCGTCGTGCATCCTTTTGAGGGTTATAAATGGAAAATTTGGAGTGAATTAGTTAAATAGAGAAAATGTTATGTAAGTAGGGAAATAATTGAGGAAACCGTGAGGCAGTTTCTTGATCTTACATGAGCGTTTAATTTTCAGGATATAGCTTGTATTTTCAGCCAATGTTGTCTTTGTCATGCTTTGCTGGTGGAACTGCACCATGATTAATTTAAATAAAACCTACATTATTTCACAGAAGTCATGTTTGCTACTGCTGTTACCTCTTGATTTGTAAATGAGTGATTTTTAAATTGCCTGTAGTCTGATGATATGCTTTACTGATTCTGTTTCAAAAGAAGTCTGAACTCAAACCCTGTGTTCTGCTTCTGGTCATGTCTCACCTCAGTTTAACTGTCTGCATGGCTGAAGTAGCATAGTCCCACGTGTCTTACATCTGACAAAACAATAATTCAGAATGTTGTAATTGGTCATGGTTTATATTTTGGAGGCTCTTTGCTTTGTGATGATGTAGTTCAATATGAGAAGAATGCTCAAGTGTTAAATATTTTCTTCTGGATCTTGCCCATAAGCCTATAATGATTAACCTCAAACTGGATTAATTCACCTCTTGTTGAGTTCATTTGTGAAAAAAAATTGACGACCTTTACTTGGAAGGGAAAGGAGGTAGAGGTGTCCTGGTTTTGGCTGGGATAGAGTTATTTTGTTCCTAGTAGCTGGTACAGTGTGTGTTGCATTTAGCATGAGTTTAATGTTGATCACACACTGATGTTTTAGTTGTTGTGAAGTAGTGCTTATCCTAAGTCAAGGATAAGCCAGTGAGCAGGGTCACAAGAAATTGGGAAGGGGTGCAGGCAGGACAGCTTACCC